TGTCCGCGCCCCTATCAGGCTGCCCATTGGCCCGTCCGCACCCCTGTCAAGCTGCCCATTGGCTGGCGGGCCCGCCAGTTCGCCCGCAAGAGCGGGGGCGGAGGGCGGGGTCACTCGCGCACGGCCCCTTAGGGCGGAGGCTCTGACGGTGTCCCGGGAGCGATTCCCTGTGGGGAGCGGAGGCAGCCGCGGCTGTGTCCCCGCTGAAGTGATTGTCAGGCAGTATAGGTCATGGGTGTTAAGCAAAGTGTTCTCCCGGCCCTGTCTGCCTGTGCTCCGAAGGTTGTCGTCTCCTCACAGACTTACCTTGTGGGCCGCTCCACAGCTGGGGAGCCCTGTTTTGTCCCTGCGGTTATGGAGCTTCTTTGGCACTCTCGCCGTGTTATCTGGAGCATCCCTTTTGGGAAGTCTCCTCTTATCCCTGCCATGTGGATGGGCCCCAGGTGAAGGCCAGCCACTTCTGCTGTGCTTGTAGTGAGAGGTCAAGAGGCCTTAAGCTGAGGCAGGTGAGATTCTTAATTAGTTATTGGGAAGTACTATCTCTTCTCTCTTAAACTGAATAAGTGCAGTGCTATAGGTTGGTAGTAAATTCTAAATGCTTAAAACTACTCTGAGGGCTCACTGGAATCAAAAAAGATCATTGGCTGGACTTGCAAACTGATTTAGCTCTGAAATTACTTGCAACTATAGAATCCATAAGGTTAGAAAAGACCTCTAAAGTCATTGAGTCCAACCATTAATCCAGCAGCCCGTGTTCACCACTAAACCATGTGCCCAAGTCCCACATCCTCACATCTGAACACTTCCAGTGATGGTGATTTTCAGTGCCTGACTACCCTGCCCATGAGGAAACTTCTTCCAATATCCAGTCTAAACCTTTCCTGGCACAACTTGAGGCTGTTTCCTCTGGTTCTGTCACTTGTTACCTGGGAGAAGAGACTGAGCCCACCTGGCTACAACTTCCTTTCAGGTAGTTTTAGAGAGCAAGACTTGGAAGACTTGATGATAGCTGGGGGAAAAAAGAAAAAGGCTGTTCCCTTTTTGGTTTTGCCTTTTTGGGACCAGGTCTAAGACCAGATTAGAAAGTACATGAAGTCATTCATCAGAGCAAATGATGCATGATTGTGCAGTCTTGCTATGGAGACCATTCTTTATGTTGTATCAGGTTATGATTTACTTTTAAAAGTAGATAAAGAACAGGGCTGATGTGTTAAATTGCAAACAATTAGAGATTTTTGAGATGGGTTTTTTTTGTTTGTTGGTTTGTGTTTTTTGGTGGGTGTTTTTTGTTTGTTTGGTTTTGTTTTTTTGCTATTGTGTTGTTTTGTTTTTCCCTGTAGGGAGTAGTGAAGAAATTTCCAAGTTAATACTATGCTCAGTCAATTAATTTAGCAGCTCAGCTGGTGACTCACGCACCTGACTGAAGCAAGTCACAGCACCTCTCCCTTCCCCTGTCAATAAGGGTATTAATTGAGGGTTTTCTTACAAGGTGTTTTAAAGATTAAATCTTGTATCTGCAACCATGGAACAGAACATTAACTTTGGTTCATGACTTATAAATATATTTACTTTCTGGTTTTGAGACAGTTAACTTGTGGCCAAGTTTTACAGCAGTCTCCTGTAAGAAATTATTCTGTTTTGTACTGTAAGATAATTTTCCCAGTGGAATTCAGGAAAGTAGTAACTTTAAGTGAATTTAGTTTAGTTAGCTTTGTGTATTTACAGCTGTAAGTGGTATCCAAAAGTTTTACTTGAGCTACAAATTTGACTGCAACAAATGTGATAGCAATGAATTGAAGAATCCCTCTGCATCCTCAAAGTGTGGTTTTAGTGTTACACTGTTTTCAGCATCGTAGACCTTTTGTTAGTGTGTGAGGGTTTTTCTGTTGTTTGGGCTTTGTCATTTGTGGGGCAAAAAAATTTGAGATTTTTTTTTTTGGTTTGGGGTTTTTTGAGGGAGTTGAATTTTATTTGTTTTGTTTTCTTGTTGCTGTTCTTGCTGCAGAATATCTACTGAGAGGCCTTAAAAATTTGGGGAACTAGCACTTGGCACATTGTCAACAGGGAGAAGAGGCAGTGAAGAGATCTTTAGAGGATTCCAGATGTGTGCCCTTATGGAGAGAACATTTTGCCTCTGTTGGAGGGTGAAAGTAGCTGTGTGGATAAGGTAGGCTTTATTTGCAGTCTTCCCACTTTTTAACACACTGTTTCTCCTACTTTTACTAGTGGCAACCTTGGATTAACCTTGAGTTTACCTGCATTCACTCAATCTCCCTGTGTCAAAACAGCTTTTATTTCAGCCAATAAATAGCTAACTGCTTTTGTTTTGTTGAAATTGGTGTTACCATTTTGAGGTATTCTTGCTTTAAAAAAAACTTGGGAATTTTGAAGTTGGCTTTGAATATATTTGCTATTCATATTAAAAACTTATTTGAAAGAGGGCTTTATGCAGCATGACTTCTGAGGTGGTGACATACTGCTGGGTGAAGATGTGAGAAAGGTGAGGTGAAAGGCAAATTTTTGGAGTGATAACTAATCAGGAAAGATAATATATACCATTTATACCTTTTTAAAAAGCTGAAAATATTGCCCAGGCTCGAGTAAAAGGTGATGTAGCAGTGGGGGAGAAGAGCAAAAGGCAGCAAGAGGAAGAACTGGGGCTTCAGACCAAAGCCCCCAAGAGCTCTTGGTGTGGTCTCCTCAGCTGGTGTAAACCCTTGGAGGCTTCCCATCTCAGAATGAAAGCTTCATCTACTAAAGAGATGAACTCCACTGTCCCTGGGCAAAAAACAGTGGTGCAAGGTCTGAAAGGGAGATTAGTTTGCTGCTTCATCAAGTATGTGATGCTGTAAGAGGATTGGATTTGCATATCCAAGGAGCAGTGAGTTTTCCTATTATTGATTACTTAGGATTCCCAACTTAATGTTTGCTGTGTTGCTCTAATTGCCCCTGCCAAGGTATTTAGTTAAAAGTCTATAGGTAATTTCAACTGGGTTGCAAGGTAGGATTGATTAATACTAATGAGCCCAAACAATGAAATACAGTTTTCAAGAGAAGGCTTAAGGTCTATAAACGGTGACTGGAGCTCATCTTGCAAGTGAACATTGCAGGTGGATGCATGCTGCTTCAAGACCCATTGATATGTGTGGGAAGTGTCCTTGGTAAGATGACTTCTTCAGTTGTCACTCTTTTAATAGTTTGGTTTGACAACAATCTCACTGCACAACACAAAGTCAGGCCAGTAGGAGGAGTAACTTTTCCTCCTGAAATAAAAATATTGTTTTCAGTTTTGCCTGTTACTTTTTTTGACAGATCTTGATTTTATAGTGTCTCTACAGAAATTCCTCCTTTTCTTGTCCTGAACCAAAAGTTGTTTTTTGAGCATGTGATGTAAACTGCTGTGTGACAGATGAGCTTGAATATGAAAATGTTGTAGTCGGTATTTTCTTTGTAATGGATGCAATCAGAATTCTGTCAGACTTTGAGCCCCATTACAAAGCCTTTATCACCTTTCTTCCCATTACTCATATATTTTTTTTTGTGATTTTAAGTATTGGCTTTGTAGGATTTAAATATACCTTTGTTTGCTATAAATCTACAAGGAGGGAGAGACATCTACAAGAAAAAGGATGCTATTAAACCTGTAAATTTGAGTGTACTGCTTCTATTACTTCAAGTTTTGCTTTTATGTAGTGAAGAATTATCAGGAAATTTCACATCTGGTATGTTTCAAAAAAGCTTCAACAAAGTTATTTTAATAAGAAAAATGAATGCATGAATTATTTAAAATAGTTGGTGCAACTGTTCCTATTAACTAATCCAGGCACTTGGAAGGCAATTACACTGAGCTTTGACAACACTGCCAACCCACTGCACAGTGTCTTATGCCAAAAGCTATTGTTGTTTTATTGACCACGTTCACCATTACATATGCATATGAAAAAACAGAGGCATTTTCATCGGGATTACCCTAATAGCATTAAGAGATTATTTTTTAAATTTCCTTGGAAGGAAATTCACTTAAATGAGATTACTTATTACTTGACTGGTTTCCTATCATGCTTCTATGTTTAGGTAAGTGGAGTCCATTAGAGTATAAAGTTTTTTTAAAAACTGATTTTATACATTAATGATTTTGAATAAAAGAGAAGTACTATATTTGTGCACAGCTTCTTTTGAGAAAGTTAAGTCGATGCTCTGGTTAGGAGAGATAACACTTTTTGTCCCCCTTGGTGGCCCCCCTAGTGTCACCATTAGTTGCTAATTACTTGCAAACAAATAAACAATTAACTCCTCGTGCCTCTTGGTGGGAGAGTTTTCATTGACATGCTAAAACTTTCTAATAAAAGATTTTAATTAATGACGTTGCAAATCCAACCCCCTTGTCAACATAGCTATAAGGAGGACTTGTGGAGAAATGCAAGTACAGTACTCCTGCTATGCTGACTGAGGGTGAAGGCATGGCTGGTCCCTCGCTGTGTGCTGCCGCCACCGCGGCCTCCCCGGATCTGCACAGGGTGCCCAGCTTTGGAGAGAGTAAAACCACACAGTGCTCCTTTTCAATTGAGAGTATATTGGGACTGGAGCAGAAAAAAGATGACATTCCAGCTGGGAAACCTCACAGACCCTGGATGGATGCATGCACCAGCGTGGGTAAGTCAGTCTGTTTTGTAACCTTTTTACCCTTTAAAAATACTGGCATGTTTCTACTGCAAACCAGTAAATTGAAGCTCTCCTTGCTCTTTCTAGTTTTAGGTGATGACAGTAATCCCCATCTGCAAATCCCTGTTGTTTGCTATGAGAATCCATTATTTCATGCTAGAAGTGATCCAGTGCAAGAGGAAAAAGTTTTGAAATGTGAAAAATATTTTTCAGTAACTGAAAGGCTGTCCTTCAAACGAGAATTGAGCTGGTACAGGGGTAGAAGACCAAGAACTGCATTCACTAGAAACCAGGTAGGGCTTTCCTTAGCTTTTAACGAGTGAGTAACAATGTCGTTTACTAAAATGTTGGAAGAAACTTCTAACAGCTGGTAAGTTCTGTGTGATGTACCTCTGCAGAGAGAAATATAATCAGGAACTAGTGTAAATTAAAAGAAATGTTGCTAATTTCAGCAGATCTGTGTTTAGGCATGGAATCAGAATTGTACAAACACTGATCAGAAGTTGAACAAACTAAGCTGTTATTTTATTTATTTTATGTATTACTGCTATGAACATAGTGTTAACTATTCAACAAGTGTATTTTAATCTTCTCAGATTGAAGTCTTGGAAAATGTTTTTAAAATGAACTCCTACCCCGGCATTGATATTAGAGAAGAGTTAGCTCGCAAATTAGATTTAGATGAAGACAGGATCCAGGTAATTAAGAATTTATTTGAACTTTTCTGTAATTCCAGCTATATATACTCTCTGGTTATATATGTAAGTAGTTTGACAGCACTAATGAGAATGTTAATACTCTCAATTTAAATCAATGTATGTACATGAAACATACCTTCAATGATTCATGAAATGAAAACCACTGAATTGCTTCTGAAGTCTAGAGACTTCCATAGCATTGATGAGGTATTCATCACTATAATATTTACACAATATCTGCTCTGTTAATCTCTAGTTATCATATGCAGAACTTTATCATTTACTTAAAATAATTTTTGTATTTTCCTTGTCGCCATATTTGAAAAATTAATTTGAAACAAGTATGGACATAATTTGTGTGACAGCCTGCATACTTTGTGAGACTGCCAGCAGAGCACAGATGTGTTAAACTGGTGTTTGAACCTATATCTTTATCTGGCCAAAAGCAAAATCTATTCAGGGATGTTAATTATTGATTTCCAGGAAGTTCAATGTGATAAGAAGCATACTGTAAACATGAGAATTTAGGCTTCACTTTGTTGTTTATCAGGCTTTTCTTGCAAGTATTATATTGAGCTTAATGGGATACTTGCTGCTTCAAATAGTTAAATAGCTGAAGAAATAGCACCTGTGACATGTGAAATAAGACATGTGTTAATTCCAGATGTTCAGGATCTTCCCGGATCTGATTCTGTCACTGAATTTAATACCAGTTTTTACATTAATTGCAGTGAAGCTGAGATCTCACTTTCCATTCAACCTGGGGATATTCTTTTCTTTGTCTGTGGTGGTAAAATTATAGGTAGCAGGTAGCTACATGCTGTCATCTGCAGATTTTAAATTTATTTAGAACTTGCAAACTGCTGTCATCACACAAAATATTGTCATGCTGTGCAAATACTTTTAAGTTTCAAATATTATTCTGCTTCCACTGCTGTATTTCTGAGAAGCATCCCTTCTCTTTCTATTTTAGATCTGGTTCCAGAACCGTCGTGCAAAACTGAAAAGATCACACAGAGAATCTCAGTTTCTAATGGTGAAAAACACTTTCACCTCCAGCCTGCTAGAGTAGAAGGATGACTTGCTGTTACAGTACTACTACAGAAAATGAAGAATTACTCATAACCTGTATTAAGTAATGATATAATAATTATGATTTTATGCTCAGATTTGAAAGTTTATTATAATTTTCATTCAAATAAACTGTAAATACTTGAAGTATTATTATAATCTACTTTTTGTGGGAAAAGTGAACTTTTCCTATATGTTTAAGTATTTTCAGAGATTTTGAGATACTTTTGCAGATTAAATCAATGCAAACCCTAGGTTGCACAAGAATTTCAGCTACTATGAATTACTGCGGAAGGCTTAACAAAGATTTATGGTTTTAGAAGAAGTCTGTTTCAAGTCTGGAATAAACTATATGCAAAATAGTTTTTGCTATGGGAAATTTTGTCACATTGGAGTTTAAATAGCTTATTTGTAAAGAATATGATAGTTCTCATTAAGAACATAATTTTTTGGAAAAAGATGTCTCCAATGGAAGGACTAATATTCAACTGACCCTTAAGTTTTAACAGTTGCTCAGTTAAAAGAAGGTGGCAGTTACTATCTTTTTATATAATTTTAATTAATTTAGGTTATTTGTCTATTTAATTCTTTAAGTTGGTTATCTCCTCTCTTGTCAGTATAAGTGTTCCAATTATGAGAGTTGCCCTATTATATTTAATGACAGAATCTAGCATTTCATGGGATCAGATCAGTGGGAACCAGACCAGATATCCAGATGATTGCCATTAATTTTAGGGTGTTGATTAATTTTTATCAAACACTACATGAAAGTTAATTATCCTCATATTTGCTATAGAGCCTGAAGTCAAGGAGAGCCATGTGAGGAAAAAAACCCACCCAACTCTTCATGGCCACAATGTAGGGAAGCACTGTAAGTACAGGTTTATGCTGCTCTTTGTTCAGCAGAGCTCTAAGCACTTGCCTTAAGTGCTGGTGACCTTCAGTGAGACTCCAGCCTGTATTTCTTGCTGGACATAAATTCTACATTATCTCATGAACAGATGCAGAATTGCTCTTCTTTTCCTCATGCTTGTATCCATATCTGTTATCCAATAGGGTGAAAGGTAAGTTGAGAAAATAGGGTGATGGAAATAAATCATTTTATGTAGCCTCATACTAGGAAAAGCTGAAGGAAGGGATGATCTGACAGTCCTTACTTAGTATTTTGAATTATAGTTTGAGCTACCAGAGTTTAAATAAAAAATGTCTATATTTTCTGAAAAATATCACCGAAAAACTGCATTGCTGTAGAACTGGGTGACAGATATTGGCCCTTCTGTGTTTTTAACTTAATTGGCTCATTGCCTTCACTTTTATGGAGAACACTAAAAATCTTGAAATGTTTGCCTTTGCTCCTGGAAATCTTATTTTAATATGGAAATAACAATCTTTTATCTGATATTGAAACTTTTTTGTTTGTTTGTTTCATTTGATTTTGGAAATAACATTCTAACTGAGTTCTGTTGTATCCTGCATTCCAAAATACTTAAGAAAACCACAAGTAAAGCAATTTAAATTGAGCCAGATGTATTAGGAATAGTTTTTAGAGAAATTGAAATCTCAGTTCAGATACCTGCCTGATCTGGTGAAGGCAAAGACAATATTGGGAACGCATTCTTTTACTTTCTTTTTCTTCACACCTCAAAACATATATTGCCCATAGCTTAACCTCATTGCAGGTAATCTGAAACTATTGTCTACTTTGCTTCTGGAAACAAAGTTTCCAGCAGCAACAGATTAGACTAATCTATACAGATTGATTGCTTAAGAACCTTACTCTATTATCTGGCAAATACCTAAATACACCTAATGTCTGCTATAATGGAACTTGTCTCAAGTGACGGGAAGTCTGACAAAGCAATTTAAGAGAAGCGGTAGAATAGTAGCAGAATAATAATAGCACCGGCCCTGGTATCCTGCTCTCCATTAGCAAACGTAACCAGCAGGATCTTTAGTGTGAGGTACTAGGAATGTCCCACCCAGTGCTAAGGGGAAAAGAATTTTAAAGCAGAGTTGCATTATTTGATTCATTTGGCTTAGCTTGTTCTTCCCAGAGTAAAGGAATCAGCAAGTGAAAAACGAGACTCTCACTTTACACCTACTTTGACCAGCATGGGTTTAAATTGTGCCCATCACTTTCTCAAATACAGCTGGATTTTTTTCCACTTTGAAAAGTGTTCGTCTGGACTTGGCGGGGTCTTTGTCTTGTCTTGCTCCCTTGCAACGCAGGGCTCCCTTGGCGATGTGCATGACAGTTCTGTTTCCTGCGGGTGCACTGCCAGGCCATCGGCAGAGGCCACCCTGAATGCTGGAATCCAGCCCTGCTCCAGTTTCGCATGCTTTGCCTTGCAGCGTTTCTGTTTGTCTCTCTGCCCTTCAGAGCATAATAAACCTTTTTTGTTCTAGCTCTGGCTTAAGCTCATGAAGTTGCAACCTTTGCTTCCAGCCATGTTGCCTTGCTTTGGCTCCAGTGATCATTTGACCCTTGTGATAAGCTGATGCATTGAGTAAGATGGGTAAAAAACTGTTCTAGCAAAGAACTCTCTCACTCTTAATATGGTCAAGCTGCCATGTCAACAGCCATACATAGGTACAATTTAGGCTCTGTTGATACTGGCCCTGTCTCTACTATAATGGATCTTAAATATTCTAGTAGTGTTTTCCTGAGATAGGTCTAGTACCTGTGACCCTAACTGGGATGATGGGCTGCATAATAATTTGTTTTAAATTTATGATGTTCTCTTAATTACTGTCTCCATATGAAATTTTTTATGACTACAAATTTCAGCAATGCCCAGTGTTGTCCAAAAAAGCTGAGCTATGCCTATGGTCTAAAAGCAGATTCACAGTAATTGATACCAAAGGGCCAATACTCCCAAAGTTCTGTTGTGATGTTACTTGAAGCATACGTAAAAACATGGTTTAGAGCTTCACTGTTAGCATCAAGACCCAGATTGAAACAGCATTCATTAAATTGTCATTTAACACTTTGAATTTGCAAATATTTAGTTTGTCAAGTCACTGCTTACAAATAGCAAGCCAGCACACTAGCAAACTATGATTTTTCTTGTTTGTGGATACATCTACATTTTTCTACTTGTTTAAAGTTTTGTATTGGAAATACTTCTGAAGAGATGAAACCTGTGAGTTTTATAGTTGTATGTAAGAAGATTTACATTGTGCTCAAAGTATTATTTGAAGGAAATGTGACTTTAAAAACAATCCAGCGCTTTTTATGTGACTGGATTTTAACACAAGCCTTGTATAAAAGCAGTGAAAATAAATTGCAAATGCCTTCAGTTTATCTAACATGAAAATAAGCTTATCTTAAATGATTGAGATCAACTCTCAGGTTTAGCTAGCAATCATGAAGTCAAAACTTCCTAGAAATTGGTTGTAAAACAACTTTTTTATTCCTTGGATTAATTTCATTTCCCTAATAATTGTTAGATTGATGATCTTTATCCCTTCATTTTAAAGGACTTAATATTACATAATTGGATGGGAAATATTAGGTATTTTATTTTCAAAAATTCTTTGGAGCTGTAGTGGTTGTCCTGAATTATTTCATGTCCTGTTATTTGTGTAGTGGATTCATCTTGAATCAAAACCACATTCTGTTATTTTATATGAGCTATTTAGAGTATCTTATGTATATATTTGATAATAACAGATTATGTTGTGGAATCACAACAGTGCAAGTAGTGCTTTTGATATTAAATTTCAAGCAGGGTCATCTGGCTTGGGATGTTGTAAGGATGTGTATGTGTGACCAGTAAAATTGATACAACACCTAGACTTAAAGAGAAGTAAGTGTTCTTTCTTTCTGTATTTATGTTCCAGGATTTTTTTTCTCCTAGCTCCTAAACCAGGTTTTCCTCTGCCACTAGGATGGCTTGAGAACACCATGAGTATAGTCTGTCACTGTTTTCCTTAATCTTGTGCAATTTGGAGCTAAAAGGACAGAAGTAGGCAGGTGGTATAAGATAGTCCCCCTCATTAAAAATGGTCTATGTCATTAGTCTTGTTATTAATCACTATAAAATTTTGTGACTCTGCAACTTTTAAATTGCATATATTTCAAACTCCTTATCTCATTGTGACCTTTAAAAAAAAATCCATAACCTTGCATCAACTCAATTATTGTACCTTCTTTTCCTCTGATCCTTTCTTGCTTTCTTAGAACTGAGTTTTTATTTTACCAGTCCATGGTAAAATAAAATATTTTATTTTATAAATATTATTATTTTACCAGTCCATGACATTTTATTACTTCAAAGGTTTTAAATGCCTGACCACAATTTCTAGATTCTGGGGAATTCTCTTGCCTGTATAACCAAATTATATTTTATATATTAAATTAAAAAAAAAAAAATTAATGATAGATGTCATACTTTAAATCTTTATAATTTTATTGTATGGATCATAGTAATACTTAAAAATTTATCATGGGATTCAGTTTCTATGAATGATGCCATATTAAGGAAGTTAAGAAGATAGTAGATAAAGTATTCTGCACTAAAAATTGCTGGCTATTTATTTGGCTTTTCCATATAAAGACAGGCTTTAAAGTCATACATTTTGAAATACTTTTAGTCTGTATTTGAGCTGCCTAGAAAAGTGCTGGGCTGCTTCTGCCCTCTATGGCTGGATTTAGTAACGACAGCCCCAAGAGTTCTGGGGATTTCAATCCACTCTCTGCAGCGGGGCCGTGGGCACAGGATGCCCCCAGGGGACTGACTGATCCTTCCAACTACAGAATATTTGTCACCGAATTTATGTTTTGCACGCATAGAAATGCTCGATGTCAGGCCTGATTTTCCAAAGCTCTGAGTGCTCAATATTCTCAATAACAGAACTTAGTGATTGCTGGGTGCTCAATATTTTTGATACTCTGAACAGCAAAACTTTTAAAATCTTGCCTCTAAATGAATTTAGACTGCTGTTATGACTATGTGTAAGACTGCCCAGCACTGTCAATTTATGGTAGGAGAATATTTTCACATTCCAGAAAGGAATTCTCAGGGAGAATTTCTTCACAGAAGGGGTTGTTAAACATGGGAACAGGCTGCCCAGGGGGATGCTGGAATTGCCATCCCTGGACACGCTCAGGAAACCGCTGGATGAGGCATTTAGTGCAATGGTCTGCCTCATAGTGTGATGATTGGTCAAAGGTTGGACTTGGTCTTAGAGGTTTTTTTCTAAGCTAAATGGTTCTGTGAAAGCTTTTGACAAATTATCCCGCAGTTCTAAAATAACCCCACTTGTTGTGGTATAAAACTTAGAATGACTTCTGGTACAATATCTACTAATCTAATTATTCTTTGATAATAAATGCAGTGTTGTCAATGCAAATATTTGCCAGGCAGAAACACTTATTGCCACCAAATTTTAATTTTTCATTGTTTCATCAGATTAGAAAGATAAGAAATTACTTAGTACTGTTTAAATACTGTGCACTTCTTAACCATTCTTACTGCTTTTCAAAGCATCCAGTCAGATCAAAATATTCAAACATATTATGGTAGCCATCTGTCATGATTCAAATATTTGTAGATTCTCTAACTTCAGAGTTGCATCTCATTGTGTGCTATGGGATGTGGCTATCTGACAACATTCCTGCAATTTGCTCTAAATCATTTTGGCAGAGAAAGGAAGTCAGAGGGGAGTATTCTTAGAAGGCATCAGCACTGCCCTTAGAATGCTGAGACTTTTGTAACCTTAAATTGGCTACATGGAAAATCTTTTCTTGGGGATGTTTTGTTTAAATTAAAAAAACTGATCCAGTCTTTTCCTTCTTTCCTCTGTGAACATATAATCCTGGACAGTTATTTTTACCACAATTTATGGTTTAGGAGTACTGGTACTTTCAGTGGTTGTTACTATTAGAATCTAACTAGAAAGAAATAATATTAATCTATTGTAATTTAACAGTCTTTAACTTTCCATGGAGTCTTAAAAAATCTTGTTTACTGCATTTCAGTCTGTTATTATCTGCGTATTTATCTTATTCCTTCCAAAAACAAGCTAACTCAATCCTGATATCCAACTGCTTCAAATTTGTGTTTTAAAATAATATGCCAGACTGTAGAGAAAAAGAACCATGAGTTTGTTTTTGGGAGAGGTAGAGCTGCCAGCAACAATTGTGATTTCTAGCAGGGCCTTTCCTCTGGTTTTTTAGCCCTGTCATGTAGAATTGCTGTGCATTCTTTCGTGAATCTGTTATAAAGTGTTTTAAAATTACATTGGAATATTTTGGGGAATATATATCATATAAACAAAGCAATTTCCATATGCCTTCAGCCTTTGTATTTCCTTTTGTTTGTGAATTTCCCTTTGTGGGAGTAGAATGAGGTGCTATTGACGAAGGGCTTTCCAATCATCTTCCACACTA